TTTAATTTTTTTTTTTTTTTTTTTTCAAAAAAAAACTTTTTTTTTTTTTTTTTTTTAAAAAACCCCCCCCCCCCCCCCCCCCCCCCCCAAAGGGGGAAACAAAATTTTTTTTTTTTTGGCTTTTTTTTTTTTTTAAAAAAACCCCCCGGCCCCCCCCCCCCCCCCCCCCCCCCCCGCTCCAGTTTTTGCTTCATCCTTGTGAACGGTAGCCCGTGCCAGAAAACCCGACTTTTCGCTCGTCCTGGCCATTGTAGGGATGCGAGGTCAATGGGTTTTTGCCTATGGCATGGGTCCCCCCCCCCCCTGGCTTGATTGATCGGGATGATGATGCCTGTACAATGGCTGACAGATCTACGGCATCCATGATAACGACGTACCCCCACCCCCCTTCCCTCCACCCCCCGGTGTTTGCCATCGGGGTTGGGTTTTCGTCGCTTGGCAACGACGTTGTAAAACAAGCCCCCCCCCCTGGTGTTTACCCCCCCCCCGGTGTTTGCCATCGGGGTTTGGGTTTTCGTCGCTTGGCAACGACGTTGTAAAACAAGCCCCCCACTCGGTGTTTGCCATCGGGATTGGGTTTTCGTCGCTTGGCAACGACGTTGTAAAACAAGCCAATTCACTTCGTGAACTCGGCAACCAGGTTACCGTTTTTTTTTTTTTACCTCGGTTTTTTTTTTTGGCGGTAACCATAATGGTGGTCGAGTAGATCATGTTGTGCGGGGTGGAGAAACCTCACTCCGCGCAACAGGGACAATCGCACCACGTTGTGTTAAAATGGTCAAGCATCCTCGAGGCAGTTACACAGTGCTTACAACTGTCTCTGGAAGTGAAAGCACCAGAAAATAAATTAAGTCATACGCAGCTGTCATCAGTACGCAAGGAAGTAAGCACAAGATGCCGAACACCCTTAGCAGGATGCAGCTCACCCTTCATGCGACTCGCCGAATACCTCACGGCGCTTCGCGCTTGGTGATGTGAGAGCCTGGTCCGGTGAGAACCCGGCGTGCTCCGTCCCGGCTTTGTAGGGATGCGAGGTCAATGGTCAAACGACTACGGCATGCACGACTATGAGTACACCCACCCCCTCCCCTCTCACACCCCGCCTTGTGCGGCGGAACTCCGCCCTGTTAAACCAATCATAACACGCGGAGGTCTCCTTACCGTAGAAAGGCACATAGAATCTCCGAATTCTCTTCGACTTGTTTGTTGTTGTTAATTTGCCGTCCTCGGACCTCTCGTGTGGTGCGTTTTCCTCTCCGACTTGTACATTTTTTTTGTCTTCTTTTGCTGCACTTGTCGTCCTCGACCCTCTCCCCTCACGTGGTGTTGTCCTCTCCGACCACATTTTGTTTTTGTTTTTGCTTGCTTACGCTTGTCATATCACATGTCAGGTGCCTGACGGTAGCGCTTTCTATGGTCTTTTCCTGGGGCTCGACGGTGGGCGAGGTAATGGCCCTCGTCGTCGGCTTCAACGCTCTGCAGGCGCTCAAGTGCTGCTGCTGCCCCGACAGGTGTGGGATGGGACCCTATAACGCCGTTTCGCATCCCACTTTTTTTCAGTAGCCTTGGCAGGGCTTTTGTATCCAGGAAACATGTTGGATAAAGCATACAGTCGGGGAAAGTTGGGTTAGGGTTGGGGTGAGATAATAGGGTCTGCGTACCCCCTCCCTGTTCTATTTCCTCATAAACTTGTTCATGTCGCGAAGGCGTTTTTTTTTTTTTTTTTGGGGGGGGGAGGGTGTACTCATAGCCGTGCATGCCGAAGTTCTCATCTGTAGCCGTGCATGCCGTAGTCGTTAGACCATTGACGTTGCATCCCTAAACAGCCGGGACTTGTGGATTCGCCGTGTTTTCGCCGGAGGTTGAGGAGGGCGAGCGGGCCGGTGGTCTGCACGTTGGGCAGAGAGAGCTTGCTATTTACAATATGAACCCGTTATGTATAGCCTGATGTTTCTTTTTTTGTTTTTGTTTCAAGGGGCCGTCGCAAAATGGCACCGACGGAAGAGCGCAATGTTGGAGTGAACGAGTCGTTGGTTTTGGTCGTGTCTCGTGCTTGGTGTCTTCTTCCCACGGCTGTCGGCATGTGTTTTTATCGTCTTTTCAACTTCTCCGACGAAGTGTGCATCTCGCCTTCGTTAACTGCTATACATCTCGCCTTCGTTACCTTTACATCTCGCCATCGTTAACTGTACATCTCCCCTTCGTCAACTCTTCATGTCGCCTTCGTTGGGATTTACCCTTTGTGCCGCCGCGGCTGTGTTGTGCTGTGTTGTGCTGTGCTTTTTTTTTGTCAGTGTGCCGGCGGAGCACCGTTTCTGTGTCAATCTTCTCAAGGCCTACGGGGCACTAAGCGCGATCCTGCTCGTCAGCGACTTGCTCTCGTTTGGTGCCATTTTGGGCCAGGTGAGACTACCTGCTGGGCGACGTTGTCGTATGGCTTCTTCTTCTGGTATGGTGGTGGTGGTGCTGCTGCTGATGCTGCTGCTGTTGCTGTTGTTGCTGTTGTTAGTGAGCGCAAATTTCTACCCGTTTTCTATCAAGCCCTACTTGTGCTGCTGCTGCTGCTGTTGTTGCTGTTGTTGCTGTTGTTAGTGAGCGCAATTTTCCACCCCTTTTGTATCAATCCCTCCTGTTTGCGTTTCGTGATGCGTTTCGGTTGGCCGTATCACGTGTGTCGTCACATTGAACATTAATGGCCAGAAACAGGAGGACACAATCAATGATACGATCGCGACCTCTTGCCGTTATGTGTGCCTTGCCTTGTTTTGTGTGTTTTCGTCTCAGTTGATCTGGCGCCAGTATACACCTTTCGGAATGTATTTGACCTACCGTAGGTGACATGGCTCAAGGTATCACACCCTCTGGACCGATTTTCAAAGGTCGATTACTCCACGACGAAGAGGATGCCGAAACTGAAGCATACGTTTTCGGAAAGCTCTCGACGAGACCGTTCCAACGCCTCCCGCCATTTTCGGCTCCGTATCTACTTTTGCTGCCGAGATATCGAGCTTCGAAAATCCGTCCGGACGGTGTGGTATCTTACGCAACCTACGGTATCAACCTCCGTCACACAGGAGAAAGGCAAAGACAGTGCCCCTTTTTGTTCATGTTGTACCACCACTACGAAATTTGTCAGCGGTGGCCGTGCACGCGTAAAACCCGGAATTTTCCTTGCGTTTTCCTGCGTTGTTGCCCAAGTGTATCATGGGAATGTAGCCGTCACGCCTTCTCGGCTATGAAGTGTAAATATTCCTCGCTATATTCCTTGGTTGTTTTTTTTCTGGATGAAGTCACACCCATAAAGTGTCAGCCTCGCTCCGTGGCGTGGGCAGGAGTTTTGAAGGAACTAATGGCGATTTTACAGGTGTATTCTTGATCACACCATACCAATGAATGATGAATGTCAATCTCGCTTCGTGATCGTGGTCAAAACATTTTCAGGAAAATATTGCGGCGCTACATTCGGATGTAATTATCGGTGTAACCGTCACGCCTGCTTCGTTTTTCGGGAATTTTGTTTTCTTTTTTTTCGTTCCCATGAATGTCATGCCATGCAGTCTTGCTTCGTGACCTGGTCGGGCGTGTCGGACACCTCGAGGCATTATGGGCTAGCCTTGCTGCTGGTGGCTGCGGCTGTGCACGGCCTGGCGGTGGCTGCTTGCATCGAGGGGGGGGTCATCTTTCGCGATGGACAGGTGTGTGTATGTGTGTGTGAGAGAGAGAGAAAGCGAGAGAGAGAGAGAGAGAGAGAGGGAAAAAGAGAGAAAGAGGGAGAGAGGCACAGACAGACAGAGACAGAAAGAGACAGAGACAGAGAGACACAGGCAGATAAACGGACAGACAGACAGACAATAGAGGGAGACAGAGAGGGAGAGAGACAGAGAGAAGGAGCGGTCGTGTGCGACGTATTTAACTTGCTGTTTTCTCCCTAAACAACCCCCCCGCCCCTCCCCCCACCGCTGGTCGCCCCCTCCCCCCTCATCGCGCAGACGTTCTTGTCGACCATCGGGCTGAAGCAAGTGGTGACCGCCTACTCCTTCGGCGCCAACAGCGGCGGCAACACCACCGCCGCCGCAATCACGTCCGGGAGGCTGTACAGGGGGGGCGGCCGGTCTACCGGCACCGCGGCGTCGAATAGGACGGGTTCGACCATTTCTCGCGGAAACGGCGGGACGCAGGCGTCGGGTGCAAGGTTGAACCGCAGCCCCCCGGCGGGGCGGGCTGGGGGGGGGGACGTGGGTCTTCCGTTGTTGGGGAGGGAGGGCGAGGGGGGCAACGCGCTGGGGGAGATCGAGTTGTAGGGTGGGGGGCAGACCCTCCACCACGGGGCCCCTGGGTGTGTTCGTTGCCGTGCGTGTTTTTCGGACTTGCTTGGAGAGGAAGAAGAAGCCTGCAGCTGGCCACATCGAGTTCTGATGGTTTCGAAGAATGCCTACATTTTTGCATAGCCAGTTTGAGTTTTTGGTTGGTTTTCGGGTTTTTGTGTCGGCTACGTTCTCTCCGGCGCGAGCCGAATGCGTCCGGTTCGCAGAGGATGTATGGTGCAAGTATGGCGGAGGTATCGTGCTTTGGTCTCGCCATCCTTGGGGGTTCTGCGACGGAAAAACTCACATCTATGATACAGTACTATTTTTTTTTTGGTAGGTTTTCCGTCAGTGACCACCAATGTGGTGGGACAGTAGAAGACGAAAGGATCGTCCGGTGTAGCGACAACGGGTGTTCGTGTGTTTGACTATTTAGCACGAAGTATTTTTTGTCGGTGGTACTTGTTTGTTTTGTGATCAATTGGATCTATCTGTATAGTGAGCTCCGGCTGGGTGTTCGTGTGTTTGACTATTTAGTACGAAGTATTTTTTGTCGGTGGTACTTGTTTGTTTTGTGATCAATTGGATCTATCTGTATAGTGAGCTCCGGCCGGATTTTTTTTTGGGTGAGGACAAGAACGCCGACAAAGACTAATTCTTTTCCTAGCCAAAGGCAAAACGCTTTGGAGCAGCTTATCACTTCATGCTCACTCAAGCGAGGGCTCAAAAACCAATCCAATCGTTCCGGGAGCAAGTCGATGTTGTGCTGTCTCCTGGCTTGAGAGAATGAAGCCGACAGGAACATCCGTGAAGTAGTACCGCCGGCTTGTGTCGATACCCCCCTAGTAGAGGCGGTTCATTCGGGGAGTCAAGGATAACGAAAGTCTTCATCCTCGGCTCCCTCTATGGGAACAAGCCGGCCGCTTGTGCCTCCCTCCCCCCCTGGTTCAAATTCCCCACATTTAGGCCAAAAACACCTCCTCCGTGAGGGAGGGCGAGAGGTAGACACGTCCCTTCACCCTTCAACCCCCGCGCGAGACGGAAGATGACATCATGTGATCTTACGTAGGTCTTGCGTGAAAATAAACCAACGCAGAACTTGACGAGAAAAAGAGGCGCGCCTCCGTCACTGCTGTCACGTTTTATTATTTTCCGGCAGGATATCACTCCTGTAGAATGTCTCGACAGGGGGAGCGATGTTCAATTGCTGCTCTCCTTAGGATTAGACTAAATGAGTTATTCCCTCCTATCCTAGCGTACAGATAATCTCCAACCTTCGGCTTTCTTCGCACGATTGTGTTCTACTTTACATCACACACGCCTCCTTTTCTAGAAAAAAAACAAGCCAACTCCCGGTCCGTACAGCCGACTGCTGTGGCATGTGGTAAAGCTGGGGGGGCACACATGAAAGCTCACGTCCTTAGCATAACGGAAGCGAATGCTACAACCGAGGAGAAGGGGTGCTACTTTACACCTCACTTTACACCTCAATGTCCGGCTTCGTGTTATCTCTGCTGCACACTAATCAAGGCAACACTGGAGGTACCACACCACTCGAGAACACCCCATCGCGTGATACATCCTCGCTCGTTTACATGTAGAGTCACGTACAACACGACGTTCTCGCAAACAGGTAGTGATCTGCAGGCCGTATATACTTACACCAACAACAACACCAGGGCTAAGGGAGGCATAGTGAAACAGATGCCACTTCCGCCCCAAAGGAATCAACAGATCAGAACACGGTTGACACCGGGGCAAAGTCAAGCATAATAAAACGGATGGTACTCCCACCAAAAAAAGGATTCAACAGATCAGAGCTAGGTTAACACACCAGGGCAAAGAGACGCATAGTAAAACAGATGGCACTTTTTACCACCAAGGAATCAACATATCAGGACAAGCTTAGCACCAGGGCAAGGGTACGCATAATACAACAGATGGCACTTTTACCACAAAGGAATCAACAGATCAGGACAAGGTTAACACGGGCAAAGGCATGCAAAACGAAATGGATGGCACAATTCCACCGCCACAATGGAACCAACAGATCGGGCTAGCAGCAGGACAAAAAGGCGCACGCAAAAAACTAATGGCACACTACCCCTCGAACGGTACCATGCTGTACGAAAGAAAGGGACAAGAAGAGTCAAAAGAAGGTATAATCCGAGGGGGGGAGATGAGACAAGTGCAACAACAAAACTCTCGCACGCGAGCCTCAGAAAATAGACAACGAATGCGCAAGACGCCGGAACGGTTTGTACAGACAGCGAAGGACACCAACAACCAACATCGGGGCAAGTCAAGCAGGAACTACAGCAGATGCCTGTTATCCCAAAGACAAGACACCCTGTGGCCAACCGCACTGAGACTGATGACCTTTCATTGGTCAGCGGTCGATGCTACTACCAAAGACACAACTCCCTTTGTACGTTACGTTTTCGCAAGGCGAGTCGGTCTCCTACGAAACGGTACTCATATATTAGCCGTGCCCACTCTCGCCATGACAACGTTCATCTCTCTTTGCGCGACCGGGACCGAGTAGCAGGCAGCGGCGGCGAGAAGTTACGCGAACACGTGAAGAAAATGACTGCTCCCGTGGCAACGACACCCCCCCCCGTTCCTACCGATATTACCCTCAACGCCAACCCTTGTTGTGCTGCTCGATGAGCCCACCCATATGGACTAGAAAACCTGAGTAGTGCCTGAAGAGAGAACAAAAATCAACAATAAGGTAAAGCTTCACTGGATGCCCACTCGGCCTGGTGCCTCCATATTTGCGGCGCCTCTGTCAGAATCACGCTCTCAACGGAATTGTTCCCGCGACAGACTGACAAGCTCCCCCCACCAAGAGGCAAGAACTAAAACGCCCCACACGAACCGCGACAGAGTGACAACCTCCCCCCACCAAGAGGCAAGAACTAAAACGCCTCTCACGAACCGCGACAGAGTGACAAGCTCCCCCCACCAACAGGCAAGAACTAAAAACGCCTCTCACGACCAAGCATGATTGCCGAGAGAAAGCAACAAACATAAAACAAGGGTGTGCAACGGTGTATCTGAAACTGCACACGCGGAGACGAAAAACACAAGCGTAAAATCGAATACAACAACAAAGCAAGGAAACCGCTTGGTTCTAGCAGTAAGAGGGCGGCAATCGACACCGAAAATACCACAGGTACGGCAAGTAATCAACCGCGCGAAAAAAATCATTCGACGCAAAACATGACGAGGCAACGGGTAGCCGGCAGGCCCTAATTAATTACTGCCAGACTCAAAGGTCGCAAACAAAAAATGATGCCGGGTTTGAGCACCTAGTTCCAAACTACGGCTCCAACACGCACATCAAAAGCCACTCTTGGAAAAAACACACGGAGGCCAGCCAGTACGAGTTGAAACTTTTCGAGACAAAAAACACGAGGGCAATGAGTCCACAAAACAACGCCGATCCTGTCTCGTCTGGTATGCCACTTTCGTATACGGAAGCAAGAACCGCACCGCACCATATCGCACCATACCGCACCGTAAATGAACAGAACACAAAAAACGTGGTACACAGAGTTCACTCTAAGTACCTTTATCCTGAGAACCATACCGCACTATCAACTACTGCCGTGCAACCTACACGCGCGGGCAAAACGCACACCTCCCTGCCCACATCTAGCTTTACAAAAAAGGCTTGGTTTCCCCACGTAGGAAATAAAAAAAAGATCGAGCCCTGGGCACAAAAAAAAGGGGTCGTTGGTGGTTGCGCGTTTTTCACCACACTAATACACAGTCAGCCAGCAGTGCTAGATACACGTCGCTTGGATGCCACCTCACGATCAAAATTGCCTGTTGTCGCAAAAAAAAAAAAAGTGCGTACATGCTGAGGGGATGTACCCCGGTGCTCAATACGGCCGAAATCACATCCGCCAACAACAACCGCCCTCTTCCCGCCCCCGCATCAACGTCGCCACGGAGCCCCCCCCCCCTCCCCTCCCCCCACCGCCGCCGGCGAGAGGAGAAAGCGCCGAATTACCTCCGGTGGCGCAAAAAATAAAAAAGTGCGTTGTGTAATACTCCTACTCCATGTCGCCGACCTCGCACCCACCAACAGCATCCGCCCTCTTTCCGCCCCGCGCAGCAACGCCGCCGCTGACACGGGGAGAAAGCGCCGAACTACTCCCGGTGGCGAGTAGGTGCTGCTGCTGGACGGTTCCTAACGGTTGTCTCGGCGAATTTTTTTCACTCTTGAAATTGCACCCGGGTTGCTGCTCCTCCTCCTGCTGCTCTGCCGTCGGCGGGGCAATCGGTGACGCTTCGGAGGGACGGCGCTGGGCCGCCGGTGGCGGGGTGATCGGGCCGGAGGCGGCGCCCGCGAGCTCTCTGTGGAAGCTGTCGTCCGACAGCGAGTCGTCCGACATCATGTCGCTGCTATCATCATGATTGGAACTAACAGCGCAAGCGCGCGTGGCGGCGTCGGAGGCGTCAGAGGCGGCGTCGGAGGCGGCGGCGGCGTGGGCCACACCAAAGACCAACTCATCATCGTCGTCGTCCTCGTCTTCTTGGCTGTCGTGGAACGCCTGGATGATGTCCATTGCCTGGAGACCGCCCGGAGAAACACGCAAGGGTGGTACCGGTGGTACCGCTGTTAAGAAGCCTCGATCTCGGGTCTAGGCTCAATTTCTTGTCGTAGATCTCCATGCCATAAGCCAAGACTACACGGCGTACTCGTGCTTGCTTGTACGGGTTAGGGTTAGGGTAGGGTAAGTAACGACATTTTCTTGTCGTAGATCTCCGTTTCTTGTCGTAGATTTCCATGCCATAAGCCAAGACTACAAAGCAATTACCACTCTCGTAAGGGGTACACAGGTTAGGACACTATTATACCATGTCATAGATCTCAGTGCCTTGTCGTAGATCTCCTTGTCACCCTGGAACCACAGCAACACATCTTGCTCGCATGTAGTGCAAGACTAGGGTAAGGTAAAAAAGGGACACTACCTTGTCGTAGATCTCAGCACCTGTCGTGGATCTCGATACTGTCGTAGGTCTCAATACCTTGTCAGAGATCTCAATAACATGTCGTAGATCTCAATACTATGTCGTAGATCTCCATGTCGTCGTGGTCGCTTGCGAGGCCCATGATCTTGTCGTAGATATCAATACACTGTCGAAAATCTCAATAATATGTCGTAGGTCTCAATACTATGTTGTAGATCTAAGTACCTTGTCGTAGATCTCCATGTCGTCGTGGTCGTTTGCGAGGCCCATAAATCTTGTCGTAAATATCAGTACACTGTCGTAGATCTCAATAATATGTCGTAGGTCTCAATACTATGTCGTAGATCTCAGTACCTTGTCGTAGATCTCCATGTCGTCGTGGTCGTTTGCGAGGCCCATGATCTTGTCGAACCCCTGGGCCTCCTCTACGAGGGTGGTGTACTCCGACAGCGTAAGGGTTGATCCAAGCCCACCCTCGTCGAGAATGGTGTAGAGCAGGGACAGCATCACCAGGAGAGTCTCTGCGGGGATGCGAGGAGGCGTCGACAGCGGTGTGCAGGGTAAGCGTTAGGCGAAGGCATGCACGTGTAGGAATGCAGGAGGGGTAACTGCTGTGGCGGAAACAAGAACAACAGCAACAACAACAACAACAGCAGCAGCAGCAGCAACAACAACAACAACAACACCGACAATAACGGCAGCAGCAACACCAACACCATCAACAGCTAGCAACAACGGCGGCAGCACCAGCAACGCCAACAACGACGACGACAGCAACAACAACAACAACAACAACAACAGCACCGGCAGCAACAACAAAAAACAAAATAACAACACAAAAATCAGCAACAACAACAACAGCGACAGCAGCCATGACAATGACAACACAACCGGCTCCCAGCTGGCCTTACCTGCATCGGAATCGCTGCTAAGGTTCTCGCAGACCGCCGCGATCACTCCGTGCCCAACGATTTCGGGTATTATCGTCTCCCCCGGATCACCGCTGCATTCGCACATGTTAAGGAACACCCAAGCCGCCTCCCGCTTGCACAGAGCGTTGCCCTCCTCTAGCTCCACCATCACACTGTTTTCGAACGCGGTGGGGCAAATCATCATTCTCAATCATTGTTTGCCTAAGTTGTTGTCACAAGTGTCCTCCTCCATTTCCGCATGAAGCTGTATTTGAACGGTTTGGACCGGGGTCACGCTCAATCATTGTTTGCCTGAGTTGTTTCGCAAGCTGCCCTCCTCCATTTCCGCCCTAACACTGTTCTCGAACGGGTCGCTCATTGTTTGCCTGAGAAATGTCACAATCGACCTCGTCACCCCCTTTCGAGCCACACCACCTCCTCACACAGGGCGTTGCTTTCCTCCAGTTTCGTCACGGCAGCGTTTTAGGTCGGTTTGGAGACCCGTGGGGGGGGGGGGGTCGTCCTCGTACGCTGTTTGCCCGTATCTTGCGGCAATCTACCACACGTGGCCCCCTTTCGAGGCTTTAATGTACTGTACCAGTTCCTTGATAAAGACACCCCCCAAAAAATTCGGAGGCCCTGCAGAATTCTCTTGCAATGGCAATGGGAATGGTTGTGGGGACAACGAGGCGTCCTTTCCTGTCGAATCGGGATTTTGGAATCGAGAATAGATGATCCCAAAGCCGCCATTTTCGGCACCTTTTGCTGCAGAGCAATCGAGCTTCAAATTTCGGTCCAGGGGGGGCGTGGTATCTTACGCAACTTCTATATCTTGAAGCAATGGCAACGCCATTAAACAGTGGAATGACGTTGAAAATCGGCCAAAGGGGGTATGGTATCTTACGCAACCTATACGGTGTGTTATATCCATACTTCGAAGTATACAGCAATGGCAATGCCATCACACCTTGGAACGACGTTGAAAATCGGTCAAAGGGGGTATGGTATCTTACGCAACCTATACGGTGTGTTATATCCATACTTCGAAGTACACAGCAATGGTAATGCCATTAAACAGTGGAACGACGTTGAAAATCGGTCAAAGGGGGTATGGTATCTTACGCAACCTATACGGTGTGTTATATCCATACTTCGAAGTACACAGCAATGGCAATGCCATCACACCTTGGAACGACGTTGAAAATCGGCCAAAGGGGGTATGGTATCTTACGCAACCTATACGGTGTGGAATATTGTATACTTCGAAGTACACAGCAATGGCAATGCCATCACACCTTGGAACGACGTTCAAAATCGGCCAAAGGGGGTATGGTATCTTACGCAACCTATACGGTGTGTTATATCCATACTTCGAAGTACATAGCAACGGCAATGCCATCACACCTTGGAACGACGTTCAAAATCAGTCAAAGGGGGTATGGTATCTTACGCAATCTGAACGGTGCATATATCTTACAGCAACGGCAATGCCACCATACCTTGGGATGACGTCAGCAGTAGACAACACGGCGTCAACTTGTTCGGCAGACCCGGCCGCGATGCACAGAAAGCAGCCGAAGCGCGCTC